GTTTTTTACTTTTGATACATTTTTTCAATAAATAATGATATTTTTATTAATGAAAAATTAAATAAAAAGAATATTACGTGCATTTGCACGTGGTGTTACACTAGTAATTCAAAGTGATTTAAAATAAAACTTGTGATGTTTTTAAATATGTATTATTTTAAAATCAATCATTAACTATCTTAATTTTAAATCAAAACACAATCTAAACCGTTCTAGAATTATCAAATTTTTAATATATTTCCAGTCGTAGAAACTTTGAAACCAAAGTGCTGATAACAAACCTGACTTATAACTAAAAATTAAATACAATGTGAAGATTAAACACAATTTAATTTTTAGTTATAAGTCATGTTTGTTTTATTATTGAATAATACAATGTGAAGATTATATATTTTTTCAAATAATTATTTATACAGCAAAAAAAAAAGAAGAAAAAAACCAAAAAAGCTATCTATGAATTAATCATTGGGCCAAATGTCATCAATAATGTAATTTAAAAAATATGCAAATATAAACTATAAAGTAGCTTTCAATGTAAATAAAAAAAATTGTAAATGAAAAAAAAATCTAAAATTCTGATATGTATACAAGCCATTACAAGAATATGATAGTGGATAGTAAAAGTCCTTGTGTTATTAGTCCGTGCAACATCGTTTCATTTTAATGATGGACAATGCATGCCGTTGAAATCCAAATTTAATACATTTGCTAGAACTCCATAAGAGATATAATAATGGGTCTTTCATACCGATGGTCATAGTACCAATTCCTCGGTACTATTGGGGAATATTATTCTCAAAAGTATTATTTTTTTTCAATCCTATCAAATTTATTTCTAAAAAATAGATTTGAATTAATTTTTCAAACAATACTAAAAAATAATCTCTTAACAAAAAACAATTACCTAAATAAAATAATAAAAAATGAATGGATTTAAAAAAATAAAAACAAATCATTGATAATCACGTAAAAAATATATATTTTGGATTAAAAAAAACTGTGGTATGCCAAGGAATTATGGGGAGTGTTATTTTGAAAATAAGTTCTAAAATTACTAATATTAAATAAATCCCCGAGTTCAACAATAAATTAAAATTTAACTGAATCTAAATGTAACTCAGAAAAATAGCTAATTGAATATTTAAAATTTAAATTGTTAATTTTTTTCATTTGTGAATAATTGTTTTTTCTTTTATATTTTGTTTAATACAATAATCATTCAAATATATATATAAACATAAATATTATGAAAAAAAACAATAATAATAAAATCCACAAATTAATTATTCACTACTTAAAAAAAAGAAGATAACAGAAATAACACTCAACCCTACAACCTAAACTAAACAAACTTTCCCTAAACAAATCATAATTAAAAACTGAATTAACTCAAAAAAATAAATTAAATAAAAAGTCATTAACTGAATCCCTAAACAGATTTATCCTCCTTGATTTCCTGAGAAATCTCCGCTCGCTCAACAACCGGAGGAACGCCGCCGCTGGCGCTGGGGAGCTCCACAACGGGAGGATCGCCGCCGCCGCCGCCGGCGCAGTCACCGGAGAAAAATCTCTTCCAGAACCAATGCTTCTTCCAGACGCGGTCCTCCATTTCATCGACCGGAATTTTCTTGGTCTCCGGCATAAGGAAGCAAATGTAAGCACACATAACCACCAACCAAGCGACGAAGAAGAAGAAAATCATGGATCTCATGGCGCACAGCATTGTGAGGAACAGCTGCGCGATGATGAACGTACAGAGCATGTTCGTGCTCACGGCGAAGAAGTAACCGGCGTTGCGACTCTCGATCGGATAAACCTCGCTCGAAATCAGCCATCCCAACGGTCCCCACGACCACGCGAATCCCGCGACGAACACCGCGATGAACCCTAACACGATGTACGATTCATGAATCGGCATTTTGTTCGATGTCTTCAGGTAAGTCAGTAGAAGATAACCGATCACGCTCTACAACAACAAAATCAATCGATTAATTTCGATTTTCGTTCTAATTGGATCGAGAATTTGAGATCAATTGAACCTGAGCGATGATCATTTGGAGTGCGCCTTCGATTAGCAAGGTCCTTCTTCCGGCCTTATCGACGAAGAAATTTGCAATCAGAGTAGCGAGTACATTGATGCCGCCGGTGACGGCGGCGGAGAGGAGAGCGGCGTCGCTACCGAATCCCATAGTTTGGAAGAGGACCGGAGCGTAGAACATGATGACATTGATTCCGGTGAATTGCTGGAAGACGTGAATGATTGTCCCGCAGGTGAGCGGAGGGATGCTCTTTTTTCTCAGTAGATTCCGGTAAGAGTGTTTCTGTTCCGCCGCGACCGCTGCAGCACGGCAGAGCTCGTCGAACTCTCGGCTCACGTCGGTGTTTTTGCCTCTCACTTTCTGCAGACTCTCCATGGCTTCCTTCTTCTTTCCGCGCTGGAGAAGGCTGATCGGAGTTTCAACGATGAACATAGATCCGATCAGAAGAACAAGAGCCGGAACCGTCGCGCCGCCGAGCGAGAGCCGCCACCCGATTGCGCCGAGTTTCGAGAACACATAGTTGAGTATATTCGCACAGAGAATTCCTACTGTGATCAGAAGCTGAAATATGATGTTGAGCATTCCTCTGTATTTCGCCGGAGCGATTTCAGAGATAAACAACGGCACCGTCTAAGAAAACAGAGAAATGATCAGATTAGAGAAATCGAAAAAGAAGATCGAGGTTAGAAAGCTTTGAATCATCAACCTGATTGGCGAGGCCGACTCCGACGCCGAGCAACATCCGTCCACCGATCAACATTCCGACGTTTTCCGCCGCGCAGCTTAAAATTGCGCCGCAGAGGAAGAAAACAGAGGCGAATTTCATGGTGAGTTTTCTTCCCAAACGCTTACAGGTGACGGAGCCGAGGAAGGAGGCAACAATGGCGGCGAGATAGAGGGACGACGTGAAGAGCTGAAGCTTCTGGTCGTTGAATTTGCAGTAGTTGTTTTCATGGGCGTGGTGTTTCCTGTAATAGACCTTGGGGAAGAATTTCTCCAAGAACTCATCCATGGAGGTAACGCCGCCGGAAATTCCAATGTCGTAGCCGAACATGAGACCGCCGAAGGCGGCAATGACGGAGCAGGAGAGGACCTGGCTGGTGAGGCCGCCGGGAAAGTCATGGCCGGGGCCCGATTCGATTGCAACTACAGCAGCAGGCATGGTTTCTGCTTTTTTGTAAAGTTTTGGTAACTTAAAAAACTTTGAGTTTATGTAGCTGCATGACTGTTAAAATCTGATGTAATATTGAACGAAAATGTTTGAAGGTAGATTTTGTTACAGTTATGATTTGATTTTGCAGTTGAAGATTCTGTTTGAAAGTTTCTTTTAGTCTATGATTTTCAAAAAAAAAAAAAATTAGAGTTTTGTTTTTTTTTTCTGTATTTAATTAATTTATTTTATATAGATTTCATAAATAAGAAAATAAACTGTCTTTAAAAAAAACAGTTTATGATATTTAGTTTGGATTTAAGAATATTTAAAAATGGATAATAAGAAACATAATGTATCTGATTTTGGATTAAGATACAGACAAATGAAGTGGTCAATGGTAATTTTAGACAGGCTGCTTTTCATTTTTATTACTTTTTTAATTTTTTGCTATGCCCTAGATTTACATATTGTTCTCAATAAAATTGATAAATATTTGATAATGGAGCTGGAATGTGAAAATTACATGATTAAATAATATAAAATAAAAGGTTAGATAGACGTTTTAATTAGTTATATTCCAGTCGGAGCTGGATATTTATCTTAATCTTGAGTTCTAATCCTTAATTCCAAGGAAAAAAATTAGTCTTCGATATTAATAAATTTAAAAATTAAATGTAAATTTTTGCATAGGCGTTTGAAGAATATTATTATAARTTAATTTCATTTACTTTATCTATATAATTTCATTTACTTTATCCATATTTCTTAATATACGTTAATTTTTAATTAAAATTAAAAAAATGTGTAACACAATATTATTATATATTTGAAAGTATGACGACTAGATCATATAAATGTTTGGAATTAGTTTTTTTTAGTACCAACATGTTTGGAATCATAGCAGGCTCTCCCCCACACATTTATTTTCAACAAAATTTTAAAAAACAAAATATAACTAATTAGGACTTTAAAAAATTGAACCAATCTCAAGTTTTCTTTAAGTAGTTTCATAAAGAATAATAAAAATAAAAATAAAAAAGTTAAAAGCTCCTATTTTTACCATAAACTTTAAGTTTCATCAAATTAGACTCTAAACTTGATAGGTGTGCAAATTTTATCTTCAATTCATTTTTCACTAATTTTAATAAAATTTAATATAAAAACTAAAAAAATCATTAATTTGGTGAAAATCTAAGTTTAACATATGATTAAGCCTAATTAATACACAAAATCAACTATCAAATTACCTGCTAAATCTTATAAATTTATTTTCTAAAAAAAATTGATAAACTTCAACAAAAACTAACTCTAATGTTATTTTTGTTTGAATCATATTAATTTCCTATCAAATATATGTTTTATAATTTAATAGAGTCATACGATAATAATTTTTCAAACGAGTAAAACTTATAGTAAGAATTACAATATTTTTTAAAGGGTAAAATTTTCAACATTTATTCAATTTTAAAGGGCAATTCGATAAAATTGAAAGTTTATAATAAAAGTTGATATAACTTACCTATTCAGGTTAAAATTTGATATTTTCCCCCAACTTTTGTTTGATTCCATACTCCTATCCTATCTTTTTAATATCCAAATATCATGAAAATGCATAAATACTTTTTAAAATTAAAATTCACTTAATTATCAAAATCAGTTTTATATTTAATGTTTAAAAAAAAATAAAAAATTATGTACTTAATAAATTTATGATCTTGGTTTTCAATTTTTTTTTTTCTTTTCAATAGAAGTAAAAAACTTGCTAACAAAATTGTACTAAAACAAGCATAATTTTATTTAAAATAAAAAACTAAAAACGAGTGATCATCAAACGACTATCTTAATTTTGGTTTTTAATTAGTTATTTGACTATAATTACATTTAGTAATTGGTATTGATTTTACACAACTAATCAGTAATCAGTATGTTCAGTCTCAAAACAACTGAACAAAAATTACAAATATTTTATCCCTTATCAACTTTGCTAAAATCTCTACAAAAGAACAAACCCCCATCCCATGGCCACCATTACTGCGATCCTTTATCTGCATATAATGAAGATTCTAATGGGCTTTCATGGGCCAAACCTGTGGGCTTTTGCAGGCCCATCACATTTCCTTTTTCTTCATTTCCATTCAAATCTTTGGAGTAACTTTCCATGTCATTGTCAAATTCCATTTCCCTCTCCTCAGCTTCATCAGATTCTTGTTTGTTGAATCTGTGAGATTCACTTTCAACTTCATAATTTCTATCACCTTCTATGTTTTTGTGGGTCACAATATCGGGTGTCGGTTCAGTTACAACTTGAACTTCTATGTTTTTGTTGGTCACAAGTGTTGATTCATTATTGGTCACAATATCGGGTGCCGATTCAGTTACAAATTGAACTTCTCTGTTTTTGTTGGTCACAATATCGAGCGTTGGTTCAGCTACAACTTGAACTTCTATATTTTTGTTGGTCACAATATCTGGTTCAGTTACAACTTGAATTTCTTGGTTTTTATCGGTCACAATATCGAGTGCTGGTTCAGTTACAACTTGAACTTCTATGTTTTTGTTGGTCACAATATCGGGTGCTGGTTCAGCTACAACTTGAACTTCGACGGCAGGAATTTCTGTTAGTTGGTTAGTCGTTGCCTATCAATATATTAAAAGAGCACATGCGTTAGCTGCATGGATAACATTCGTATGACATATTAGCTCATATTTTTTATAACAAGACTTGATCACAAAGGAACATGGATACCAATACAAAGAATTTATAACTTGTTTGAGAAGTATCAAATACTTATTTTATCAATCAAACATTTTAAGGTTGAAATATTCCCGAGCCTTCAAATTTATTTAGTTTTGATGCATAAACTTTTATGTGATATATTTTAGTTTCTCCACTTTCAAATATTTTGTTTCAGCATTTTGTGGTCAATTTTTAAGGAATAGTTTAACAAAAATCCAAACTCATTTCAAAAACTTCCTATATGTAGCTTTGAACACTTCTTATGATCATCTATCTACTCGTCTACAAAATATACGTTGATGTCAATTTCTCAATGATAAAAAGAACTAACAATAGCGATTAAAATATGTTCTTATACAGAAAACATGTTAGGAAGTTTAAGGCTCGTTTGGTAACGTTCACGTTTCTTGTTTTTCGTTTCAATTTTATTAAGAAATCTAAGAATTTTACCACTAACTTTGTTTCTTGTTTCTCCTTTTTTTGGAAACATTCTCAAAATTATATAAAAATTTTGGAAACAACCAAAATAAGTTTCTCCTTTCTTGTTCTCATTTCCAATTTGTTATAAAACATAGTTTTATCATAGTTGAATTCTTGGAGGTTGGAATCATGCAATACATTTTTCTTCATTAAAAATAAAGGAATAGGAACAAAAAACTGGAACGTTACCAAACGAGCCCTTAGCTTCTTATTTCCATATAACGATGATGATATTTGTATCAGTTTTATTTGTTATTTAAATTTTCTTGGATGCATGAAAGAAAATATGTGGAGACAAAAGGAAGAATTACCTGATCTCCTTGTACAATAACTTCTGAGATTTTCAAATCTGCATCGAGCGCTGGGTTAGTTGAGCTCAAATTCTGATCTGTTTTCTCAAGGTCATCCATGGGATCCAAGTTGGATTTTTCACCATTTTGTTCTGAAAGGTCTTTGATGAGCTCACTTTTGATTTCAATGGCATCAGCAGGTTTATGATCATCCTTCTCCCTGGTTTTTGGGTCGTCGTTCTCGGGGGAAACCATGAAATCCTATTCAATACATTCAAAATAAAGATATGGGAGTCAAAATTGTGATCACATTTTCACTGTACCCCTTGAACATGCACCTGAAAAAGAAACTCTACTAAAGAATAGAGGTGACCTTTGGGAGGTGAAAAATACTCGGCCCGTTATCAACAATTTTCAAAATTCAAAATTTTCATAGAATCGCGATTCTGAAAATTCTAAAAAGATGTTGAGTGCTTTTAGGAAAAATTACATAATTAGTACTTCTTCCAAAAGTGCTTACAGAAAAGTTATCTCAGAAGTATTTTTTTTCAAAGGTCGCCTTAAACTCACCCCCTAAGCTTTAATGGAAACATATTCATACCAACGCGAGGACATGAGTAACAATCAAAAGTTCAAATCCCCACCTCCAGGTTTTCTATTTATAGAGTCATGCTTATTTACTTCGTTTTTTCTTTGTTCTGGAGTTTGACTTTCAAATACGTTTTTAATTGAAAAAAATGGTTTTGAAAAATCGATTTCTTGTTTTCTAAATTTAGTAACATTTCAAAGTGAAAAGTAATTTTCATAATCATAATTTTTTAGAACATAAAACTAGAAATTAGAAAGTTAAAGCAGCAAAGAAATTCATTATTTTCTAAATCGAACCTGCGGTAAGGAGACTTTGCCCACATGGATTTGTTCTTCAATTGAAGACTCTGGAGGAGATAGTTCTGCACTGGTATGGTCTTGAGGCTCCTTTTGAATGACCAAATCTTGCTCCACAGTAGAGTTCATGGCTTCATTAGACTTCTGAAATTCAATTTGTACAGCATTTACTTGATTCTGTGAGGCATCAGAACATATTATGTCATTGGAATCAAGAGGAACTCCTCTATCAGTGACCGAGTTGTCCTCTACAGTCGATTTCAAGGCATCTTTAGAACTCCAGAATTCAGATTCCACAACATTTGGTTGGTTCTTATTGTCTTGTATAAACTCCAACTGTTCTTCAATCTTTCTCGGCTCTACCAGATCTCCATGACCTTTAATCTGATCCAGGTTTCTACTTCCTTCTTCCGAATGTTCGTGGTCCGACTCGGCTCGATATCCAGAAGAATTATCAGAACCATCATCAGAAGATTTGCAATATTTTAGATCAGTTTCCTCCTCCAATGATCTTGTTTTCTTTCCATCATCCTCTTGCTTCGTCAATATATCCAATCCACCATTTACTACATCTTCACTGGTTTTCTCCATGTTTTTCATGTTAGCTTGAGCTTTTGCATCTTTTTGGTCAATAATGTGATTTGTGGCTTCTTCTTCATCATCTGTGGGAATGGGAATAGATAACTCCTGAAACAAAGTGAATCAGCTGAATGTTGTAATCATGGACAGAGTCCAAGGGGCATAGGAATGATTCTTCATTGGTCAACTAACAATCAACTTAGCTCTAACGACTGTTTAGAAATAATTTTCAAACTTTTAAAACCATGCATTTGAAATCACAGGACCAAAAGTGTAATTTGTCATAATTTTAATTATATTTATTTTAGTAATTTTTATTCCATAAATATTTGTTACATAAAAAACACTTCCAATCGCATAAAAACATTTTTCACATATTAAAATTAAACAACAGAAGTTTTTTATTAATCAGCACTCTTTATTCAAGTACTTGTAAGTCATAATTCAAACAATTTTGATGTAAGCACTCTCAATTAATCTCTAAAATATATATGCAGGGTTCAAATTCAATTTTGATCCTTGAATTTTTGAAATTATTTCATTTTGGTCTCTGAAACTTTTAGATATCTATTTTGGTAATGAGCTTTTAGGTTCGTTTCATTTTAGCTCTTGAACTTTCAAGATGGTCTATTTTAGTGCACAAACTTTTAAAAAACAATCATTTTAATATTTTGTCACCAAACATCTGCTCACCTAAGAATCACTTCCGACCTATGTGGTACGAATATATGTTCATATTAACATGTTAATATACATACTCAAGTTAAGCTAAGAATCAAAATGATTATTTTTAGAAGTTTATAGACTAAAATAGATCTCAAGAGTAAAAAGAAAAAAACTAAAATAGGATTTAAACTTAGGCGAAATTTCATTTGTTCATTTTGGTTACTTTGTTTTGGTATGTCAAAAGTTCCTCAATAAAAATTGCAGTAAGATAAGAGAACTGACCTCAGGCATTTGTGGGACAACTTGAGAAGGATGATCCACCAGCTCCTCAGCCATTATTGCACCTTGAATAGTTTTAGGGGGTAATGCATTATCTGGGACACTGAATCTCCGGGCCTTAACTTCTCCTTCCTCCTCTAAACCAGATACAATCTCATTAGACCGCACCTCCTCCACCGTCATTGGACTCATGTCATCTTGTTCACCTCCAAAATTCACCTCCTTCTCAATCTCCCAATCAGGGTTCAACGATTCTGCATCAGTGTTGTTCCCATCAACAGTGGGAGGGGAGCCAATCTCAGAGACCTCCACTTGAAGGTCAGAAGCAATGGAGTAAGTTGGCGTGTGACACGCCACTTTTTCTGGGTAAAGAAAACGCTCATCCATTTTGTTCTTCTCAAATCCCGTCGGGCTAAAATCACAGAGAGGTTCCTTTATCAATCGGCTCTTTGGTATTCTACAGTTCAAGGATTTGTTCAGTGCGCTGCTCAATGTTGACTCGAAAGTTTTTGAAATTACTCCCACATCGTCACAGATCACAGCTTCGGGATTGTCCGACGAAGATGAAGGGCTTGCTTGGGCATTACCATCTGGCGTGAGCTGTGGCTCCATTTCAAATTCGCTCTCGGAATCTGCGGGAATCTCCTTCTCTTGATTGCTTTCGAGCTCCGTTGCATTTTCGTGCCCTGTTTGTGACGAATCTACAGTTTGAACGCCTCTGGTTTCTACAGCAATGGGGTTTTTTTCGGCGCCTTTGAATAAAAGCTGTTCGATTAGCCAGTCATGCTCGCCTTTATCTACAAGCGAAACTATAAACAAAGAGTTTTTTCAAGTCAGTTCAGCGAATCAGTGGTGTAAGAAACTATTTTGAAGAGTATTCTAAAATCATAATACTGATTCAATTGATTTTAATAAACTAAAAAAAAATCAATTATAAAATAAAATGCCGAGAATTTGGAGTTTTGTTGATGTAAGGTTTCTCGTAGTAATATAGATTCAAATGAAAATTAATATAATAACAATAAGAAAGGGCAATTTTTTATCAAAGAAAAAAGAAATAATAATAAGAAGAAAGGGCAATTTTCTAAAAATGAAAAAAAAATACCCAAACAAGTACATCAATTTCTAGAAATAAAGAGAGCAAAATCGAAATAACAAAACAAATCTAATTTTAAAAGTTTTATCATATTTGTAAAATAAAAAGACTGTTGCTGACAAATATTTTTGCTACCCATTCAAAATACACCAACAGAAATATATGTTGGTAAATTGCCACTCTATTTTTTCAAAACTTTGATCCAAAAACTTACCACTTTTATGTACAAACCCTGTTTTCTATGCTTAAAAAAATATAAGTACTAATTTTTTTATTTTGAAGATTTTTTGGGACGAAAAGTCACATAATTTTTTTAATAACACGAACTTTTTCGTTCAATGAAGTAGACAATTATAAAATTTAATTTGTTAATACTTTATCAAATTTTCATTTGAAACAAGAACAGTTCATAGTCATGAAGACGAAGAAGGAAAAAGAAAAAGTGAGAAAGGAAAATGATCTTACTTGAAGGTCTTCGATATCTTGGGTGGTATCCCATTCCCACTCCCACAACTTCGTCAGGGAAAGCAGGTCCAAAACAGAAGCTCTCGTGCCTACAGAATGCTAATTCCTTTTGGTGAGCTGCTGTGAATTCCTGCTGAAAGCTATCGGCCATTAGATTTGGTTTCTCTTCATGAGGATCATATGGAAGATCGAATGGATTTCTCATCGGCAACAGAATAGAAGGAGCAGAACCAGGTAATTGAACACCTTCAAACTCTGCTACATCGAGAGGATCGTATCTTGTAGTTATGATTTTGGGAATTTGACCTGGAGGAACAATGTCGACTGTAACAGCAGTTTCCTCAACTTTGCGTTTGTACGATTTTCTAGCTCTTCTCCTCGCAATTAGGCTCTCCAATCTTCTGTTTCTCTCGATCTCTGAAAGCCCTAGATCCATCAGATTCTTCTGATCGTCTTCTGTCCACTCCACGGCTTTATTCCTATCCTCTTGTGCCTCTTCTTCGTCCTCGTCCTCTGCATCTTCCGAGCTTTCGATCTTCGTCTCGTCGCCACCGCTATCGGATTTAGTAGTTTGAGAGCTTGAGCCATCAAATCCGGCGAGATCGGGCTTTACTAGTAACTCCGACACTAGAATTGTATCGTTTTGACCGGAAACTTCAATATCTTTATCAACTGATGTTGTACTGAGAGTAGATGCATTATTTTCAGACTCGAGAGGTTGTGTTTCTTTCTTCGCCTCGATTGATGATTCTGAGCTATCGGATTCAATCGATTGATCCGTTCTGCCTACCGAATCATTAACTGGAGATTCTGCTTTCCATGATTCACTCTTATCTGTGAATCGTTGTCGCCGACTGGTTGCATTTCGTAAGTAAGCGCTACGATTTCTGTAAATTGTACTCCTCGTCGTAGTCGCAGTCGTCGTTGTCGTCGTCTTCTTCTTCCACTGTTCGGAAACCGCTAATTTTCTTTCTTCTTTCTTCTCAACTCGAATTGTGGACTTTTTGGAAGTCCAATAGGCAAAGAGAATTACAGCTAGGCCAAGAAATGGCAAACTGTAAAACAGAAAACTAAGAACAGAAGGGAAGAAAATGTACAAGATGAAGAGAAACAACAATGTACCAGACACATAAGGATGCTTCTGTACAAATCTACGGCTAACCCTAAGGGAGAAATGAACAATTCTACAAACGCATAATTTGACATCTTCTACATCGATTCCCATCTCTCTTCAATTCAACGAGATTTGACCTAGCTAATCGAGAATCGAGAAAAAAGAAAAGAAAAAAACGCACAATCAAGACCAAGAATCAGATCAATCGATCAGAAAAACTAGGATTCCCCTAGACAACGGAGGTCAATGACGACGGAGAAAAATGGGCGAAACTGATAATTAAGACGATCTTGTTACCAAATACTGCGATAAAATTACGTGCTGGGAATATCATCGGGAGAAGCATTTCCGAAGCGCTGCATCTGCGTGCTCCATTTTTAGAAAATCTCTCGATTGGCGATTATCAGAGGAGAGAGATCCTGAATTTCAGGACCCTATCGTTTGAATGTTCATAGACAAAATAGCAAACAGGTAGCCGAAGGAAGGCGCGCATTTTGACATCCTCTTTATCCGCTTTCCAAGATAAAAATATAGGAAACTTCTTTCTGGTTTAAATTTTCGTTTTCATTTCCTTACGTTTATTACCATCCCAAAATCTCAAAAGTTGATTTTCGATATTTGTTTGTTTTTTTAAATCATAGTCAATATATTCTAGTAAATAATCGGTAATAAAATATTGGCAATGATTATGATTTTTTTTTTTTTTTTACAAAATTTAACGGCTATCCATATTAGCTACTCATCATTCAACTTTACGTAATCAATACTGGTTAGGTTAGATACACACCAAACGACTCGACGTGACCTATGTTGAGTGTATCTAATCATATTAAATATCTAACCCAATCATTTTATATGTGTATGCATGCGGTACTCCGCCACTTGTATAGTATCTCATTACACTCTATTATATGTACAACCTTACGACTATAGTAATGATTATTGGACTTTTCCAATAAAGATAATATGTGTTAAGGATGTCAATTAATAGTTAGAGACGTTTATTACTATATCGAAGATCCATAATTTGATCCTCTCTATCCCTACAATTGTGTTCTAACTCTTTTTGTTTTTCTTTTTTTAAAGACAAGATATTGAGATAAACATGTAGTTATGTTGAGACTATTCAAGAACTTGAAATGACTTTGGTTGTTGAATGTTGTTGGGTAGATAACATGCAATGTCAATCACCTCTGGCATTGTAACCATTTTTCTATTTCTATTGTAATTGTTAATGCATATAAATTTGTCTTATCGAGATTACCAAATTTGCATAAATCTTTTAGAATAAAAGGTATCGACAAAATCTACAAAAGAAAAATATTACATAAGTATCGGGGTGATGCTAGCCACACACACTCCGATACTTACGTCAAAATTTAATTGAAGTTGTAGCTTACCTATTATGAGTTTTTTCCTTATAATTATACACGAAAAAATTCAGAGTCAATAGGATATCTTCTTTTGGAAATCTTAAGGCCATGATGATATATCTACCTTTTTGAACTCCTTTGATAAACAGAATTAAAAAATTATATAAAATAGGAAATTTTTTCTATCCATTACAGTACCTCCAAGTGTAATTGTTGATGACGAGTTTCAAAAAGGTCCACATGTCCTTCGAGACGGGTTATCGTCGGACAAATGAGCCTGCAACAACAATCCTAGACACTGATGAAATGTCCCGCCTAATAATATCTGACGATCAAGTWAGTAATCGATAAGAAATGTAACAAAAAGCACCTTAGGAAATTAGTGACAGATTTTTYACTCACCTCACGGTCGTGGTGGTTCTTTCCCTTTTATAGGCACCCTCAAACAACCAAGGAGGATGCCCTATTAGTGGCAAGGCAAGGCTCGTCATCGTATAAGATTTTGACAGGCGGTTAAGGACATCCTTGAGGCATGACGGTAGTGCAGTGACCAACTACTCTGTCCCTCAATTGCCGTCTGTAGAGTGAGYCGCGTCTCTTGTACTGCGTAACAGGTGTCTAGATCACGTCCTCCCCAAATCGTACACCCTGTTAAATTTGTCGTCCCAACTAGATGTCACTCTTTGAGCTTATCGTGTCATCTGCTCGACTTCACACTCGATCAATAATTATTATCTGAAATTATCACATCAGTGGAATTGATTGTTACCCAWTATTAATTTTAAGTTTTGTAGGAAGATAATGATTTTTTGGTGGACAATTGTTTATAAAGCCTTTTTTTTGTGACAGTTAATAAAATAGTTAAGGTGTCTCTATCTGCTAATAAGCAGTATGTTTGTTTGAATCTATACCTCATATTTATATTTATATTGTAATATTGAAAAAAAAAATGAAATTTGTCCTAATAATATTAAGATTTTGTTATATTATATTTATAGAAGGCTTCAAATTAAGCTCCTTACTTAACCCAAATGTCCTACATCCTTTCTTGTCCAATCACTTTATTGACCATACTTTAAGGCTACATGGTCCCACCACATCCCACATGGCACACCTCTGCTTAACATAATCCACTTAAGCCGCTATCTTCAACCATGCACTACATCATCGTTAACATATAATTTAGATGCTAAAGAATCGAGACTATACAACTTAAAATATCGCTCATATTATTTATTTCATGTTTAAGCATAGACACTGTGATATGATACGAATATCCGAGTTATGTTCACATTCGGTGAAAAATTGTATCCATTAAAAATTCCTATAACACTTTTTCATCAAAGAAGCTTAATGTATCTAAAAATCCAGATTCATAATATGTATCTCTTAAATATTCATATTACACTGTTAGGGATAAAATTAAGTGCAAACATCTGGCCCTATTCCCCTGTTAAGGCACGTGTATGTCAGACCTCAATTTGGACACATTGAAGATGGGGAGGAAGCGCCATGTGTCTAGAAGTAGAGCTTAGCTTGGCTATGAAGAATATTCTAATTGATAGGAAATATGCTTACCATTGATGAGACGTTAATTACTATTGCTGAGTATAATATCCACTTAATGGTAAGTATGAATGTTGTCACCGTAGGGCACCACTTCCCAAACTTCCCTTATAACCGACAGAGTCCCACATTCCCAAAGGTACGGAATCTCTTTCATTTACATAAGCTCGACTTAATACTAGTTCAAACTAATTACTATCTTAAATTTTAGAGTATATGTGGTCGAGCATCACACTAACATAAGGTTTTGTTTGCAGATTGTCAATCAGGCCCACGTCAGAGCCCACGTCAAATTGCATGATGACGTGTTTAGGCAAGTTAGAATCACACATCAACACACACAACAATATATCTTTAATTTTAATTTTTTTTAGTACAACATGTGGGGATGTGGGATCGAGCTCACAACCTCTTAATTGGAAATATATAACAATTACCATTGAACTATGCTCGCTTTACCTTATCTTTAATTTTAGGCTGGCTACCAAACTCAATTACCACGTAATACCGACGCAATAATGTTTTCAACCTTAAAATAAATAAAAAAAGATGAGCTATTGAACACACTATGTTAAACCTTACCTTTAAAACTCATATGCTCGGATGAGTTTATGATCCAATTCATCTTAAAAGGCCATAAATCCTTCTTTACAAACTTGTCATCCTCATTATTTAACTCTCATAACCGCTCAAAAAAACATCATTATAAAATGTGAACTAGATGTTCTAGAATCTCTTTCCCACATGTTTAATATTTGTAGAGCATAAGACAATAGTGCCAAATTGGGAGGGGCCTAAGTGAAATATAATAAGAATTAGAGGACAATTTTGATAGGGTCAATTTTAACATAACAGAGATTTCCTTTATTACGTGGCAGCGTATGAATGAATGGTGAATCTAAGCGAGGGCCAAAAAAATGAGTGCTCACAATTTGACCACACGATCATTTTTATTTTTTATCCCACCGTTGACACGTGTCAGATTCTCACAAGTCAGAACACACAGCTCCAATGGAACGCAGCGCAGGGAATCGCGGCCCCAGAATTTTAACATTTCTTAGAAACCCCATAAGCCGGGGCCACGGATAAGGCTACCAGAAGAGAAGAAGCGTAAAAATTATCTATATAAAAAAATAAATAAAAGAAGGCGTAAAAATGATGCTGACGTACGGCCAGGATTCACGACCTCACCTTCATCCGACGGTCCAGATTGCAAGTTGAGTTTTCCCTTCACATTTCCCCGCCCTTTCTCTCTCTTTCTCTCTCACTTCAGCAGCATTTTTCACAGTCGAAAATTTTTCCAGGTGCACTGCTCACATCCATAGGTTTTTTCTTTGTTCGTTTTTGTTTGTATTAGATGCAAATAATAGGAAAAATACATAGTTCGATTTGGAGGTTTTGATTTTGTTTTCGGTTGCTGGAGGTTCCAAATGTCATCGGTGGAGTCTTTAAGTCCGGTAATTCGGACGAAGTTTCATCTTGATTCGAACTGTAATCTTCGTTGTTGGAATGGATTGGGATTTTTCCGTTGTAAATCTAGGGTATTGCACCGGAATTCAAACCGTTTTGTTCCGAATTCGGTGCCCTTTCCCTCTGTAAAGTTGTATAGACTAGCGTCTTCGAAAAACTCGGATAGATTCAATCTTTGGGGAGGTTTCGCGGGGAATTTCGGGTCAAGGAGAATCAAGATATGTGCAAATGGTAGGGATAGTGATTCGACGGGTGGTTCAGGGGAGAAGAGTGAAGCTAAACCTAGCGAAACTCAGGGGGTGAGTAAGAACACGCCGAATTCAGGCTCTTCGTCGAATCGGAGACGGGAGAAGCACGGGAAGGGAGGTGGTTGGTGGTGGTCTAAAGGTGGAAAATGGCGGTGGCAGCCAATAGTTCAGGCCCAAGAGATTGGAATTCTGCTTCTGCAGCTTGGAATTGTAATTTTCGTTATGCGATTGCTTCGTCCAGGGATTCCATTGCCGGGGTCCGAACCCAGGATACCAACGACATTTGTAAGTGTGCCGTATAGTGACTTCTTAAGCAAGATCAACAGTAATAACGTCCAGAAGGTAGAAGTTGATGGGGTGCATATCATGTTTAAGTTGAAATCTGAACCCGGGACTCAGGAAAGTGAAATAATTAGTGGAAGCAAGCTGCAGGAATCGGAGTCGTTGATAAGAAGTGTTAGTCCCACTAAAAAAGTGGTTTATACAACTACCAGGCCAGGTGATATTAAAACTCCTTACGATAAGATGCTTGAAAATGCAGTGGAGTTTGGGTCACCAGACAAACGATCGAATGGATTCTTGAACTCTGCATTGGTGAGCTTTAGTTTTGGTGTTATGCTACTATAATCTTTATGATATGGACCTCTACCTTATATTCCATGCATCTGATATTGTTCAAAAACATCGTCCAAATGCTAGTTCTAGCTTGGTTAGAGCAGAGTGATTATTATTTCGCGAGCAGGAAGAACAAGTGGATTCAGTGGCTTCAATACTGTCTGATGCAGCTCATCTGTTATGTTTGTTTTAAATTTATATGTAATTGATAACATTTATAAATTCCTATCCAAAAAGTAACTTCTATAAACAATCTATATATCCTCATAATTGTAAGTTTAACTAAAAGCATGTTCTGATTATTTGTGGGATACAAATTTTACCATGTCATATTTGAAGAAAGGATTGGAAACAATGAAAAACGTGAATTTAACTGTAACTATTTTTTTTTTTAATCTTTTTTATGTGCTGGAAATTTACCATTTATTTTCAGATTTTTAAAGTTGCAGAACGTGTACTTGTTTTGTGATTTCCAGATAGCTTTGTTCTATGTTGCTGTGCTTGCAGGGCTTCTCCACCGGTTTCCTGTAACCTTTTCACAGGTATGAGATGTCAAGCTTCTTTTCGTTGCACCTCCTGCAATTTACTCTCTCTATTCTAATTGAGTGCATGCTTGTATATAGCATACAGCTGGTCAAATTAGGAACCGCAAGTCTGGAGGTTCTGGTGGGGCAAAAGTCTCTGAACAAGGTGAATCAATTACCTTTGCTGATGTGGCTGGCGTTGATGAGGCTAAGGAGGAGCTAGAAGAAATCGTGGTATGTTAGACATGGATTTAGTTCTTTTCTTGTCCCAATTAAGTCATTACAATTATCGATAATCTTTTGAAGCCTTCTCATTTATTGGGGAAATGGTTTTTATATAGTGATATATGCATTGCAGGAATTTTTACGGAATCCAGATAGGTATATTCGACTTGGTGCTCGTCCTCCTCGAGGTGTCCTCCTGGTGAGTCTTAATGGAAGAAGGACGATGATTATCAAGGTCCATTTGGAAGAACTGCTTGTATGCATAATCTATTTTAAAATAAACTTTCAGAGTACTTTCTTTAAGAAAATGAAAGTTATATATCATAAGTTATTAACCACTATTAGTTGGCCCGGTCTAAAAGTGCAAGCCATAAATCCATTTTTCCTAGGTTATGAGTTCAAATTATGGTGGCTACCTTCTTTTTTTTTTTTTTTTGATATCTGTGAATGTTTGGGCCCACTTGTGCGCACATCGACAAGTTGTTCATGTGAGAATTTAGGTTTAGGTAGTTATTTTGTGAGATTGGCCAAGATGTATGTAAGAAAGTTTAGACCCCTAACATTATAATATAATTAAATTAATCAAGTTGTTTGGTGAATGTGCGAATTGAATTTTGCATATCTCTTGCATGTTTGGTAATAGGACTCATAAAGTAAAAATTATTGTAAGTTTATAATATTATCCTTAGAAGTGATTTTTTGAGTTGCCCTTCTATCGTGCTTTTAATGCTCCTTTCTACTTTCAAATTTTTAATGAAGGTTTCGTTTTAACATTTAGTGAATTACAACATTAATCTGGTTTTTTCATTTACTAATCTGACCAAGAAATCAAACTTATTGATGACCTACATCCTCATTTTGTTTTTCAAATTTCCAATATTACTTCTAATATAATAATTAGCCCCCAAGGGGCAGCCAAATTAGCAAGGGCATGGGGTCTCGTGGTATCACCTACCATGAGGTCTTGTGTTCGAACCTTTAAATGAACTTAATACAAAAAAACTCTTGATGTCTTTCGGGTGCGGGTGTAGATGCCCCAATTATAGGGGTAAAAAAAAGCTAAAGAGCTATCGATTCTGGGTCATCACAAAAAAAAAAAAATACTTATAATAATTTATATTATGATGAGGAAACGGAAATTGACAACAACTGAGTTGAAAAAGATGCCTAAGTATTAATTTATTGAACCGATAATTTTTTCTCAAGAGAGTTTTTTTTTTCAGTACAAAATCAAACATAAATTCTGTTTGTTTGAAAGAGGTTGATGCTTTTTAGAAGTTGATTTTATGTTTTATCTAACTATCCATTTCATTGATGGGATTTAACTCTATTTGAAATACTGTGTACAAACACTTGAAATACACTTATTTAAAAATATATCTATGGCACTAAAAATACTACCTAACTCTTAAACCCAATAACCTGAATTGGGGCAGTATATCTGCAATTTCTATCAATTGCTGGGATGCATTTGACTAATCTAAATCTTTCCTGTTGAGCTCTTCTACCCAGAATTATTGAATGCTGTTAAATTTTCATTCCTCTACTTGGCGTTCTTCTCCTATCAATATTGATACTCCTATTAGAATGGAATGATATGCTAGATCAGCCAGGTGTATATTTGTTTGTACATTAGTATGTTTCAGCTCATGGTCGTGTTTACTGGCATGTTGGGAAATGATATTGGCTAGATGATGCAGACTGGTAGAACCATTCTTGCTGGTGAATTGTTTCCTCACAGTCCTATGCAAAACAAAAGAAGTTTTGGTATATAAAGTTTGATTTTTTCAATCGTACAGGTGGGCCTACCGGGGACAGGTAAGACTCTTCTAGCCAAGGCAGTTGCTGGGGAAGCTGAAGTACCCTTTATAAGTTGTTCTGCTAGTGAATTTGTAGAACTATATGTTGGCATGGGTGCCTCTCGTGTGAGAGATCTCTTTGCACGGGCAAAGAAAGAGGCACCATCAATCATCTTTATTGATGAGGTTAGAACACAGTGATAGTGTCTATTGAAAAACTAGTAGTCTTTAAAATTCTTACAGTTGAACCCCCCTCTTGTAGATTGATGCTGTAGCAAAAAGTCGTGATGGTAAATTTCGTATTGTCAGCAATGATGAGAGAGAGCAAACCTTGAATCAGTTGCTTACTGTAGGTTTCCATGCGTGAGTCTTCAGCATCCAAAATATATTATGTTAGCTAATTTACAATGAGTTCAATGAGTTTTAAATTGTATTTCAGGAGATGGATGGGTTTGACAGCAACTCTGCTGTCATTGTTCTGGGTGCAACCAACCGATCAGACGTTTTAGACCCTGCTCTTCGCCGACCTGGGAGATTTGATCGTGTTGTTATGGTTTGTGACTTGTATTATGGTTCTGCTACTTGTTCAAGTTAAATGGTTATAAAGCTAGTTAACTTTTTTTTTTCTGTCTCCAACTATATATTTTTAAAAAATAATAGGTCGAAACACCAGACCGAACTGGAAGGGAATCAATTTTAAAAGTACATGTCACCAAGAAAGAGCTCCCCCTTGCAAATGATGTCAATCTCAGTGATATTGCTTCGATGACCACAGGTTTTACAGGGTATTTTGCAGTCCCTTTCTATCATTCCATGAGATGTGTTTCAAGTTCATAGGTCTTAATTATTTGTGACTGGATGATTTAAATTGGATTGGAATTTATACATATTGCAGGGCAGATCTTGCAAATCTGGTTAATGAAGCTGCTCTTTTGGCTGGAAGACAGAACAAAAATGTGGTGGAAAAGGACGATTTTATTCAAGCAGTGGAGCGATCGATAGCTGTAAATTTCTCTCTCTAACACACAACACACACGTATAGACATACACATACACCTCCCTTAAAAGAAAAAGAATAAATGGAAGCTTGAAAAGATGGGCACTGCTAGCTATCTTGAAAATCATTAATGTTTTTAATACGATAATTGTTAAATAATTAGCTGTTTTATTTGAAATTATGCACATCATCCTTATTCAAGGGATTAAGCTGCTGATTAAGATTACACTCCATTTTAGAGATGGGCGAAACTATGTAATAATGTCTTCTGGTGTGTTGATTTATATCCATTTGCTAAAAGAGAATTAAGGGAGGGATCCTCTAGATTGAAGGATTATGTGCCTTGTTTGTATTTGAATGGAATCTTTTAATTTAGAATTTTTGTAAGCAAATGAAGGAAATTTTTTGTTGCAGGGCATAGAGAAGAAGACCGCCAAATTACAAGGAAGCGAGAAGACTGTAGTTGCACGACATGAGGTTGGTCATGCAGTTGTTGGCACAGCTGTTGCAAATCTTCTCCCTGGACAGCCACGTGTAGAGGTAGCAATAGAAATATCCTGGTGCAGTAATTTTTTAAACTTGATGGAATCAGAGCTAGAGATACCTTTCTATCTAAAATGATTTGATAGACTCATTTAATTGTTTTGTGTATTTATGTTTGGGGACATTGAGATTATTGTGCAAGCATTTAACATGGAACATTTGATAGTTAACCATAATAATTCAAGTATTCTCCATTGGTTTCATAATAGCAATATGGTTAAGAAAAATGGTTCATACTTTCTTGTTATGTGTTTGTTCTCATTCATCCATTCTGGTTCTAACATTCGCTTTGTTGGCAACATACATTTATTTAGTTCTGGTTTTGTTCTGTGGCTTGAGTATCATTCGAGTAGTTTAGCGTGTCTAACTATGAATGAAGATAAGCTTAGTAGATTTCAAACAACCAACTTTTTCATATAACTTGGTGAGTAGCATTGAATTTAACCTGTTGGTCCTAGACCAAGAAACTCCTGCTGTGCTGACTAATTGATCTGTGACTTGTTCGTTATGTGGAACTATTGAATCTTCGATAGTAAAGTTCAGAGTCTCACTTTATGAGGTTCATTATATTGTAAATGTTGTCCAAACACACAAAGTAAAATCATTTCATTCATGTTTTTATCAGAAATTAAGCATATTACCAAGGTCAGGAGGGGCACTTGGGTTTACCTATATTCCTCCAACAAATGAAGATAGATATTTGCTCTTCATCGATGAGTTGCGTGGCCGTTTGGTTACGCTTCTTGGAGGACGTGCAGCAGAAGAAGTAGCCTTTTCAGGTCGTATTTCAACCGGTGCACTTGATGATATCAGACGGGCAACCGACATGGCATACAAAGCAGTGGCTGAATATGGTCTGAATCAAACAATAGGTCCCGTGTCTATAGCAACGCTTTCTGGTGGTGGGATTGATGAGTCTGGGGGAGCTGTCTCTTGGGGAAGGGACCAGGTCCTAATATGCTACAATCTTTTTCCTTAATTCATTCTATATGTTCCTGTGTTGTCAATTCTAATAATTATATATGCGACAGGGTCACCTTGTTGATCTTGTTCAACGAGAGGTCAAAGCATTGCTACAATCTGCTCTCGAGATCGCGCTTACAGTTGTGCGTGCAAACCCAGCTGTCTTGGAAGGCCTTGGTGCCCATTTAGAAGGTCATATTCTATGCTTGGGATGGGAGTATTTCTAGTGCTCTGTTTTCTTACTTTGTCTTGGTTTTTTTATATGAATTTTTGTAGACGTAGTATTAAAGATATTCAGTCGATCTCTCTAGTTTCCTATAAAAAGATAGTCGTGCAGCGACTTGAACTAGATGAAAACCTTGGCTGAAAACAACAAAAATTCTGAGTGAAACACAAAGAGATCCTGATCTATTACAGAACTAGATTTGAGGATCTATTTTTCATTTAATTGTCAAGGAAGTGATATGATTTCTGTTTCCTCTTCTAGAAAAAGAAAAAGTAGAAGGTGAAGAGCTGCAACAGTGGCTGAGAATGGTCGTTGCACCAAAAGAATTGACAACCTTCGTAAGAGGCAAGCAAGAATCTCTTCTCCCAGTACAGACAGTGAACTCATCCCCAGCTTCATAGCCATCATGTATAATTCTTGTATACTTAGAGTAAGTTAAATTTCCGCGCATTCTTTATAAGATACCTGCTGGTTGGATGTGTCATGTTACAGAATGGGAGAAAAAATACCAGCAAAATGCAGCAGCAGCAGTCTAAGCACCTCGTTATAGAGCCGTGTTCAAGTGTCGCAATGCGTTGGCCACCATTTTAACAGTATCCAACTTCATATCTGTAATTTATTACCCAGCTTTACACATTGTTGTACTGTAAATATATAGCGTTCCCCTAAGTTGCAAATGTATGAAGTCTGGGTCAATATACTTATACTCTCAAAAGTTATCAAAGAATTTGTGCATTTTCTATGTTGAGTTCATTGAATCATAACCTCTCCTTTTCTCTGTCTTTTCTCTCCATGGGTACGTGCATTGTCTCCATACCCGTACACATATGTTAGAAGTGATTGTTTGGTGGAAGTTGTGTCTCATGTGGTTTGAATTCAAAACCTCAAAGTTATTCCGTGAGTTTCCAAGCTACCCAAACTATCATTTGGAGACTAGAAATGCATGTACTTGAACTCCGAAAAGTTTTCAATCGTTCATCATTCAACATGAATGTGTGAAATTTCTATATGGGCTGTTATTGAACATGGTTTCTCTCTCTTTCTCTGGTTGAGCAAAGTTACAAATGCATGAAGGCTTGGGTCATGGTCATTTTCTAGGCTTTTATTGATCGTGCTCTCGCTGTTTGTCTGTATCTCTCTCTGTAGCTGAGCATTTTCTGCATCTTTCATGTATTGTTTTCAGAAGAGGCAGTGTGGGCTTTGCTGTGGTGAATCTCATCCACACAAATGGGAGGATTTGTGGGAGTGCTGTTGATATTTTTTAAGCATAAATAAATATCAATGTTGCTATCTGGATAAAAACAGGTGAGGGACCATATGATGCCCATGATTTGATTGAAATTTCAATTTGTCACATTGGAATGATGGGTGCCAAAATTCCCTTCATGGGAAATATATATATATAGTTAATGGAAAAAAAATAAAAGTTATTGTCAAGTTTAATCAATCTAAAAAGGAGAGAGAAAGGGGAGAGAGCAATAATTTGTTGAGCTACGTTTGGATTGGTAGTTCATGAAATTTTTTCTTCTAAATTTCTATTAATCGTTAATTTGCTATTCCAAACACTAGATTCTAAGAGGGTTTTTATCATTATTAATTTTTTTAATGAGTAAAGGCACTCATTTTATTTCTTTGAAATTGATTTCTAAGGAATTAAATGTTGATCTTGATGTAAATATAAAAATCTCAATTTTTATAGAAATCTGAATGAAAGTATAGATAAAATATTAACGTTGATATTTTTTTTGAAATTGAAATTTAAATAAATTTATAAAATATATTTTAGTTCAACAATTGTGGGATGAGCGATTGAACTTCTTAATCAACTTTAAGAGGGAAGTAATTGATGCATTATGCTATGTTGACCTTATAAAATGTATTTGAATTAATAACAAATGATTTTTTAAAACATGATTATTTTGTTTATTTAGTTATAAATATTAAGTATCAATGTCTATATTTGAGTATTAGGCACAGTTTCCTTTTAGTGACTGTAGTGACATTTGCTAGAGCTAATGACCTTATTTAATTTACCAATTTCATGTATTTTAATTTAATTTGGAAACATGTGTTAATTTTTTGTAATTGATCATAAATTTTGTTGACGCCAAATTTCGGAGAGGTCCACGTGTCCCTCGGATGGATGTATACGCTGAAGAGCAAATGAGCCTGCAAGTCGTAGCTCTGATGGAAGGTCGGACGCTCCCAACAAATAGTGGGTGGTGCCTTCATCTGCAAGTCTGTAAAGCTACGACTTGCAGGGTTAGCTTGTAGTCCTCGGTGTCTTCCTCGTACAATAACGGTGGCAACACGCTTGTACAGCTACGTGTTCTGTGCCTCTCTGTCGCTACGTGTTCGAACGCGTGTCCTGCTCGAATTTTTCCCTTGACAAATTTAATAATTTATGATTTCATCATTAATTTATTGGTGAACTAATACTTTATTTTTTTAACACAAGAATCCATGAAAAATGTCGCAAGTGTATTCATCTAACAAATTTATGGAAATGAGGAAGGTATCAAAATATTTTGAATGCTTCTTGCTGAACAAATTTATGAATCTTGATGCTCACCCTAAACGAATATAAGCTTAACTTACGAATATAAGCTTAACTAAATTGATTAAGACACTTATATACGATCAAAAAGTCGTGAATTCAAAGTCCTTCCCCCATACTTTTATGTTATATTAAAAATGAAGAGATCTAAAATTGTCATAAAATATGCCTACGATTTCATAAGATGAATGTTTAGTGCATAATTTTAATAATTATGCCGTGTAACATATAATTAGGAACCTTGAAATTTAATTTGTGTTTTAATTGCGTAAAGAAATGAGTTATGAAAAGTTAGGTTTATATAACCTATGTTTGGTTGGTAGGTTGGTGATTTTTTTAGTACAACATATGTGACATGAGATTTGAACTCACAACCTTTGAGTCAGAGATAGGTGTCACAATCAGTTGAGATAAGCTTAGATTGGCAGGAACTTAAAAAAAACAATAAAATTTAAACAAACAAGTGAATATTAAAACCTACCGACCTTTTGAGAGAGATTATTAATGCATTGACTCGTGAAGCTATATTCATATCAACAGTAGATTTGTGACTTATGGAAGTAGATATGTAGTCTAAGAGGTTAGATTTAAAAAATTTTACATAATTTGTGTGATTATTTTGTGATATAAGTCGTTGAATTTGCAAATCAAATAAAAAAAATACTTACCTCTTGATTGTCACCGTAATATTATCGACTACCCCCATTATGTTTTTTTACAAGTGTTAGGGAGAAAAATATGATGTGATACGTGGACCCAACAACTCAATTCGGTATAGTCGAAGAACGGTCAACTAAGCTAATAGAGGAGGCCGACCTGAACCTAAGATCGAGGTGAGACCAGAATTTGATAGGAGACTCATCTAAGTTCTCTCAGACCGACCTGAGAACTCCGTCCTCAGGCTAGACAATCGACCTGGGGTCCGACAGCCAAGACTATTGGTCGGAGGCGGTTCCAACGACCTTGTCCCCCATTGCCTATAAAAAGGACACTCCATCTCTTTGCTCAGGTATACAATTTTACTTCGATAACGACTTACCATAGTTTGTGTCTGTTCTAACTTGAGCGTCAGAGTGCTTTTCCTTTTTGCAAGTTCCTTCTACTAGAAATCATACCTCATCAGCTCATCTTGGTGGCCGACTTTCGATAGCTCGAGAGAATCTTGCATCAACAAGAAGTAAAACATATAAGAAATGTAGGTAGAGAGAGAGCACATATTTTTTTCTTTTAAAACAATAAATAGTTATCCATAATCAATGTGAATAAAGCTCAACATACGTTATAAACTAAAAGGTCGTGCCTTCATTTTATTACCTCACATGTTTTGTACTAAAAAAATATATTATTTTGGTGCACTTACTTTTATAAAAAAAAAAAAAAAACTTTACAAGTATAGAAATCAAAATAGATATGAAAAAATTGAGTTTAAAAATCAAAATAGCATTTAAAGCGTGTGAAAGTTCAGAAGTGCCCATTGGCTGTGTAGCTCGGCGTCATTGATGGCCAATTTTCAGAATTTAATCGACTGTCCGATTGAACACACTGGCACGTGACCATTGGAAAGCTTGACGGTGATTGGGAGGTGGCGCCGCCGCCTATATAGCAACTTTTCACCCATTAATTCGTCGATTACAAAATTATTTTTATTTTGTTTAATTAATATGTCATATAATTTTTTTTTCTTTTTTAGAAAAATATCTCATATGATTTTCATAGTGTAGTAATGTACGATTTTTCTAAAATGAAATAATATAAGTTTTTACCATCAACTTTCAATTTTATCCTACTGTATTTTGATAATTGTTCTAATCTTTTATCTTAAATTTGAATTGTGTTGATGCGTTGATTATGTTCTCCCGATTCTTCCCGAGGTTGGCACCAAACTTGATTATCAGAGATTCGAAAACTTGCAAGTGTGACTCTTGTCACACGAGTAGTAGAGTAATAGAATTGAAGGGTCGAATTCGGCTTACCTTAGGGTTAGGTAGCGTGATTGATTTATAGTCACTTGGAAGGCTTCTAGAACCTTCTAAATAAGTCCTGATTGTTGTGAAGGCCCAGTGATTCGTATACAACAGAAGAGAGAGAATGTCGGGCTCGGCCCCGAGTAGGGGTATTCGGTCGGTTGACATAGGAACCAGGTGGAAGAGATCGGGTGGCTTCCTGGTCTGGAGACCAAGACTAGAAGCCACTGCCTCGGCGTCGAAGAAGCCTCAACGCCAAGGTGGTCTCGACGTCGAGGCGGGTCGGTTTTCAAGAATGGGCCGACCCTTTCGTTATGGGCTGACCCTCTTTGTCGATGATCTCAGGCTTCACGGTCTGATCTCTCGTCTCGCTTGGACCATTTTTGCTCCCTATAACAGTGCGGTTTTTATTTTTGACAGTTAATATTTTAGTACGCCAATAAAAATAGTCTCGTATGCATTTAGTAATTATAAAAACATATGTCTAGTACAAAGTTAATGAAGGCTTTGAAGCATCAAAGGAAAACAACATCAAATTTTTGTTGAAGTTTCTAAGTTTTGAAAGATTTTATAATCATGAATCTTTTACAGTAATCAAACTTAATTCTATACCAAATTTGTTTTTTTTATAAATGAGTGAATTTTGAAAAAATCTACTTCGCTTTTTGTTAAAATTATTAGATGCATTTAGTGAAAATTGAAAATAGTAAAACTTCACAAGCTGTAATCAATTTTTACGAGTAAAAATAGAATTTCTTTTTTTTCTTTTAGTTCAACAATATGATTAGTTGGAGATTCAAACTCTAGATTTTCTGGATATCATAATGTCTTAACTAATTGAGCTAGAACAGTGAAAGAATAACATAATTATTTTTTTAAGTAATTTTGTAGATATTTAAAAAAATTATGCGAATTTTGTCTCAGTTGGAAAGCACACATAAACATAATATTTCTAGAAATAACTCTAAAATCATTTCAAAGGAAATTTTTGAGTTTGGTTTTCTTTTATTATTATTATTTACTTATGACTCTGCAATGGTTTTAAAATTCATGAAATTGTGTCTTCAACTTGGAATTTCCTTATCTAGATGGTCAAAATTTTAGTTGATTTATCACCTCATTCAAAACTATTATGCTTGGTTAACTTGGGAGAATTTCCAATACTAGAGAAATTGGTAGATAAACCGTGTCAACATCGTTTAAAAATAATATAGGTCCAACAAAATTAAATATTAAAAATAAAAGCTGTGAATATTAAAAATAGGTAATCCTAATATTAAAAATTATGTATAAAACTAAAATGACGGCTGATTATTTTGAAAAATCGCGGTGGACAGTAAAAAATCTTTAATATATTTCAAAATATATCACATGTTTTTTTAAATTTTCAAATATAACAAAAATTTGCATTTATATCACTAGTATATCAAATATTCATATCAGTAGTATATTAGATGTATATCACATACATATTATACAGACACTCATATTAGCAGTATATTATATGTATATCATATACATGTTGCAAGTAGATCATACGCTCATATGAGAGTAGTATATCACATATATACATCAGTAGTCATACAAATATATTACCGATATGTATCATCTGGGTAAAGTTGTCCTTTTAAAATTGAACATCTTTTTCTTTTAAAAGTGTTATATTTAAAAAAATTAAATATAGTTTATATTTTATTTTTGTCATAACTGTCCCATTGTTTTAGATGTTTTTATTCCAAATTTATCTAATCGAATACCACAATAAAATTGATGTTGATTAAAAATAAATAGTTTAAATACAATATTATTAAAAAAAGAAAAGAAAGAAAAGTAATTGGGAGGGAGAGATATTGTCTCTGCTCGTATGAACAGCGGAGAGATATTATAATATAGAGAAAAAGAGATATTTTTATTTATATTGCGGGGTCAGAAATATCTGAAAGCCGGAGGTTGTGCCACGTCAGCATAAATTTGGTTGCCTTTTTAAAGTACGAATTGGACATCAGTTTCTCTGCTACCGCTCTCCCACTCTCTGTTTTATCTTCTTTCTTTCTTCGAACGGCGTGTTGAACAGATAAGACTCAACTCACAGGCATTCATTGCTACGAGGTCCATTTCTTCCCAAAAACCCTACATCTTTTCCATTTTCCGCTCTTAATTTCGTATTCTCTGTGGCTTAATTCCTTCTGTAAGTACCTTTTATGCTCTGCTTTCTGTTTCTAATCGATTTTTTCTGATCATTCTTTAGTTTTTTTTTTTGTTTTGTTCATTATCTGTTGTCATTTTATGCACTGGCGTTGTGTTTCGAATCGTGTTTTTTGATCGTTCTTTAGACCTTTTCTGTTCATTATCTGGTCGCTTTGTGTTTCGAGTCGATTTTTATTTGTGATCATTCTTTAGTTTTTCTGTTCATTATCTGGTTGATTTGTTGAGAAAAGCTTCGGATGGCGTATCGATGAAAATTTTGGAGAAATCGAAGAGATTGCTTTGTTGTCGTCGTCTTTGATGCATGACTGCTGTGTTCTTCTGATGATCTTGTTTGCGCTCGAGTTTTCGTTAGACCTTATTGGACTCTGAAAATTTTGTGCGAGCATATCGTCGAGTATCTGGTTTTTTCTTTCTCTTATCTGTGCATTTTCTTTCACCTGCGACTTTGATGTTAGATTGAGCCGTTCATTGAGCTATATTAAGATGCTGCTTTTCGTTTTTGCTCGTTGTGCCTGATTCTGAAATCATTTTCTGGTCTGAGAAACTTCTTCTTTTTCTTCGATTATTTGATTGACCATTAATTTTGATTTTCTAGATCCAAGATGGCTTCGGTGCATGCTACCATAACAGCAACTGTTTGTAAGAGTGGGAAGGGAAGCCGTTCCTATCCCACAAAATCACTGAATACTGCCTTCTTGCCTGGGATTGACGTGGTTGGACGTGTTTCCGGTGCATGCAAGGAATTATATCCTTCATCTATTGCCTTGGTTCCTAGAGCCACTCTGACCTTTGAACCCCCAGAAACCAGTACGGAGAAGGCCAAAAACAAGAAACATAACGTTGATACATCATCTCCTGATTTTCTTCCGCTTCCTTCATTTGACCAATGTTTTCCAAAGAGTACAAAAGAACACAGGCGAGTCAATTCATTGGAGTATTATTTTTTTTTCATGATTTTTGGAACTGTTGCAAAACTAAATAGATGAGATTCTGAACTGACATCACGTTGCAATTATTGATGTGTAATTTCCTATTCAGGGAAGTTGTTCACGAAGAGACAGGGCATGTGCTCAAAGTACCCTTTCGAAGGGTTCATTTATCTGGTGATGAACCAAACTTTGACAATTATGACACTAGCGGTCCACAAAACATCAGCCCCCGCATTGGTAAGATGATCAACTTCTGGCTGTTCCTTAAAAAGTTTTCATTTCTGCCATATTGGTGGCATATATTGGTTTGGTTTGGTTTATTATTTTTTGATTTTTCATGAGTGTATATTCTACTTAAAATAAATTTTTGTAAAAACTTGCAGAGTCTGACTTGGTTGCATGGATATACATGTCTGTTATGTTAAGTCTTGCTGCATAAGAGGCTAAGAGCTATTATTTCAACTAAAAACTGATACTAACTAGTATGAAACTGAAATCTTTTTACAGCTGGCTTATCTGACTCTATTATGAAACATAGATGGTGCTGAGTATGATTGCTTTCTATGGTGGCGTCTTTACATTTTTATGTAATTTCTATACTTAATGACTCCAGATTTTTAATACTGCAACATATCAATTCAGTAATGACAAATTTTTTCCCCTCGGTATCCTATACTAGTAAACTAAGTTATGTCTTTCATTTTAAATTATCACTGACAATCAACAATGTTAAATAGGATTGCCTAAACTTCGGAAGGACTGGGTTGATAGGAGGGACAAATTAGGCGGACCAAGATACACCCAGATGTATTATGCCAAGCAAGGAATCATAACTGAAGAAATGCTGTTTTGTGCCACTCGTGAGAAGCTTGACCCAGAGTTTGTGAGGTCAGAGGTTGCTCGTGGACGGGCAATTATCCCTTCCAACAAGAAACATTTGGAGTTGGAGCCCATGATTGTGGGTAGAAATTTCTTGGTCAAAGTAAATGCAAATATTGGAAACTCTGCTGTTGCAAGTTCTATTGAAGAAGAAGTTTATAAAGTCCAATGGGCAACAATGTGGGGAGCTGATACTGTCATGGACCTCTCTACTGGTCGCCACATTCACGAGACTCGTGAATGGATACTGCGGAACTCTGCCGTACCAGTAGGAACTGTTCCTATCTATCAGGCACTTGAAAAAGTGAATGGAATAGCTGAAAACCTCACCTGGGAGATTTTCAGGGAAACGCTGATTGAACAAGCTGAGCAGGGTGTAGACTATTTTACCATTCATGCTGGGGTCTTACTGCGGTATATCCCTCTAACAGCAAAACGCATGACGGGAATCGTATCACGTGGAGGATCTATTCATGCAAAGTGGTGTTTAGCTCATCATAAGGAAAATTTTGCTTATGAACACTGGGAGGACATACTTGACATCTGTAATCAGTACGATATATCCCTATCGATTGGTGATGGGCTGAGACCTGGTTCAATTTATGATGCCAATGACACTGCTCAATTTGCAGAGCTCTTAACTCAGGGTGAACTGACTCGTAGAGCATGGGAAAAAGATGTGCAGGTAAGAACAAAAGTCTATTCTATTGCTTACCTGCCTGCACGTGCTCGCAGTCACACCTATAATATTAGTTATATGCATTTAACATAATGAAGGAACATCTCATAGTTTTATCATTTTTAAGAAACTCTCAAGGCTTACCTATTACAACCAGTTTCATGCATGTTCAAAGATTTGCAGCTGAAGCATCAGGACTTCTACTTTCGGATATTTTAGGTCTATCATCAGATTTCTATTGCAAAAAGATTAATGGAGACAAAGCGGTCTCTTATGATTTTGTCACCCTAGAAATTTCTATGCGTTGGTTGAGAGCTTCGAATTATGGGACACTTCTCTTATTTAGGAAGTTAATTCTTTTTGCATAGTTCATATTATGTGAATGCTACTTAAAAATATGTAACTTAGATTTCAATTACATTGGATAACCAATAGATGCAATTATTGTCTGCTGTTTTCCTTGTGGGGACTAGGAATGTCACTTTTCCCATAACTAACTTGTGGCCTCTATTTGAATTTCAGGTAATGAATGAAGGACCTGGACATATTCCAATGCATAAGATCCCTGAAAACATGCAGAAACAGCTTGAGTGGTGTAATGAAGCACCTTTCTATACTCTTGGTCCTTTGACTACAGATGTTGCTCCTGGTTATGACCACATTACCTCTGCCATTGGTGCTGCCAATATTGGAGCTCTCGGCACGGCCCTTCTCTGTTATGTGACACCGAAAGAGCACCTAGGTTTGCCAAATCGAGATGATGTGAAAGCTGGAGTAATAGCGTATAAGATAGCTGCTCATGCAGCTGATCTAGCCAAGGGTCACCCACATGCCCAATCGTGGGATGATGCACTGAGCAAGGCGAGATTCGAGTTCCGATGGATGGATCAGTTTGCTCTGTCATTGGACCCCATGACTGCCATGTCCTTCCACGATGAAACCTTGCCATCAGAAGGTGCCAAGGTGGCCCACTTCTGCTCTATGTGTGGACCCAAGTTCTGCTCCATGAAGATAACCGAGGATGTGCGGAGGTATGCTGAGGAACACGGGTACGGGAGCGCAGAGGAAGCTCTGCAGCAAGGGATGGATGCTATGAGTGCTGAGTTTTTGTCTGCGAAGAAAACCAGTAGTGGTGAACAACATGGTGAAACTGGTGGAGAAATCTACTTGCCCGCTAGCTACATGGACTCCCTGAAAAGATGAAGGTTAGGAATCACAAAAACTTTTGGCCTTCTGATTTTAATGCTTGGTTTCATTCATGCATAGAACTATTATTTTAATAACCATATTTTGATTATAGTCTTCAAATTATTCACTTCAAAGGAATTGAAACAAAATGCTCTGACATTATCTGATCTTGATTGTTTTGTGAGAACTTGTCTTATGAAATGGTTACTTGGAGGATCATTGCCTGAACCAGAAACTTTGATCATCTATTGATTTGGCTTAATGTCGTTTTTACGGCCTTCTTTTTGAGAGCGGAATGCAATTGATATCCTTTCCCCTTGGACGTAATGTCTACCAAGAGACATCCCAAGGAGAACCCTTGCCCCCATCTTTTTGCAATTACTCCAGTAATACCTTTTGTTAGTTCTCAGGCTTACAAATATATCAATATGCAGGATCGCTCGAGGAAGAGGAGAAAGGGTTTGAAATGTCGGAGACTTTCAATATTGGACCGACCAGAACATCGATACCTGCGCGAATCTCCAGTTTCAGCACATGGAAGAGTATAAAGTTTAGCTTGTCTATTCCCTTTTATTGACTATATTTAAGTGTGCTTTGCTTCTATTTATCCTTTATCTCTTGGAAATAAGAAAAGTTATTGCTTTGCTTGATATTCAGTCCATATCTCGTTTATCGTCTCGGTTTTGATTTGCACATTAACATAAGAAATGCACCGGGGGTGCCTCGACCAAGTTCTTAGCTGCTCGTCTGGGGGCTAACTGGTCAGGCTGAGATAGTCCCTTTGAACCTGAACAGGATAATGCCTGCGTAGGGAGCGTGCTTTTCTGTTTTTTGTGTACAGGGACGACAATGCTGCTTGCTGCTCGTGGCTCTGTCGTTTCGGTCGGCTGGATCCATTTGAGCATATGCATACAAATTGGCCTTCACCTAAGTTTGACCAAAACAATGGAAGCAACTGAAGGCAGGAAATTTCCATTTCCTCACTTACCAAAACAATTGCAAACTTAACTGAGATACCCACATTTATCATCCCTTATGCAAGCCAATACTTGTAAAAGTAA